GAGAGAGAGAGAGAGAGAGAGAGAGAGAGAGAGAGAGAGAGAGAGAGAGAGAGAGGTTCACAAACATTCGAGTGCACGTTAGCAAGGGGATGTGACGTGTGCATGTCAGCAGTTCTGTCTCTGCTTCCCTGATGTGTGAAGAGGTAGATAGGATTTAGGACCATCGTCTCCATGGCACGTGGTCTATATGTTTGTGAGCAAGCAAGAGGTCAGGGGAAAGGGTGGGAACTCTGCTTTGTCTCTCTCTCTAATGGCTGCAGGGGGTGGTCGGGACTGTGCTAGGAGTGTCGCTTATATGTCCGTGAGCAAGCAAGAGGTCAGAGGAAAGGGTGGGAACTCTACTTGTCTCTCTCTCTAACAGCTGCAGGGGTTGGTGGGGACTGTGCTAGGTGTGTCGCTTGTGCATTCTATATGTCTGTGAGCAAGCAAGAGGTAAGGGGAAAGGGTGGGGACTCTGCTTTGTCTCTCTCTCGAACGGTGCTAGGTGTGTCGCTTGTGCATTCTATATGTCTGTGAGCAAGCAAGAGGTAAGGGGAAAGGGTGGGGACTCTGCTTTGTCTAAGGGGAAAGGGTGGGGACCGTGCTAGGTTTGTCGCTTGTGCATTACTGTGTGCATCAAAACGGGCATTGGAAACAGGTGTGTGGCTTGTAGCTTGCATGTGGGTGAATGTGCACATATTTGTGTGCCGCATACACGAGCTCACACTGAAATTGATACGAGATGCAGAACTAGAACCGGGCTAGCTCAGTTGGTTGAGGACGTAAGCTATTCAGGAGGCCGTCCTTTCGATTCCCCAGGTTGTTCATTCGATCCCCCACGGCCCCCTGTGATACGCTTCAGGTTCACCGGTTGAGATAATTGGCTTGGGCCTCCTTGCTGCTTGTGGTATCTCTGCACTTTCCAGCTCGCACAACGTGTTAGGAGCCGCAGTACTGCTCCCCGTATAGAGCCAAATCGGGTAGAAGGCTGGGATCCACTAGGGAGAATGTCAGCGTCCCATGGTGAGGTGGTGTGTATATGTGAGGAAAAATTCCCCTGATGAGGGGGGGGGCAAAAAGAACTAGCCTGTCAATATCATGGAAACCCTGGACCCGGACACCGGACACTTCCGGACTGTCTTTCGGACCAGTGTCTGGACCGGTCCGGACTGTCCGGTGATCTGGACATCACCGGACACCGGACACTCTGGACCGGTCCACGGGGTGCACAAATGT